ACAATGATTCGCTAGCAAGGCCCACGTTTTGAAGTCACCACGAGCCGAAGGTAAGAACGTGTCCTGATCGAATACCGATCACAATGCTGTACAGTTTGAAGTTGAAAACAATGGACAATGCACTAGACCATCCTTTGTACATGCCTTGGGTCTAGCATCACAATGTCCATCAATAGTCAAGATAATGTCGTTACGGTTTAACAATGCTTTGACACAATTGCTCAGTTGTATGATGGTTCAATTGCAACGACAATGGAACCAAGCGACGGTGTTAAATACAATGCTGGTGTACCATGTGCACAATGCGCATACAATAGTGTTCGTGTACAATGCCTGGATCAAGGCCTTGAGCCTTCGGACAATAAAGCCAGAGAGAGAAAACAATACAGCGCGAGTGATCACACAATTGGGAAGAGACAATTGAGGACAGACACAATCAGGCAGTGACAATAGAGGAGATTGACAATTCGAACAGTGAAACTTTACACTTAGGTGTCCTCGTAATCCTGCCTTGTGCTAAGATCATGGTCAGCCGGGCATGCCTCATCCTGTACCTTTTGATGGCAAAGAACATCTTCTACATATATGAACAGCCAGGATCTTCACTCCTATGGGCCCACCCCCGAATGGATGAGTTTCTTCGTGTTTGTGATGCCTTTCGGGGCTGGACTTGGATGGGAGCCTTCGGACATGGCTCCCCAAAGGGGACAACTCTATGGAGTTCCCGGGCATCTGTGAAGAAACTTTGCCGTGCCCTTCCCGACCGTGTTTGGGAAAATGATATGACTAGAAAAACTGTTTTGAGCAGTGGGGCCATATCCGTTAGTGGGGGCAAAGACCTCAAAGCCAGCCAGGCCTACACCCCTGAATATGGATTCAGTACTCTAAGCGTTTGGTTGGCTGAAAAAGAAAAGGAAGAACCAGATTTGAGCTCGGTTCGCATTCCACCCATCTGGGCATACCTGCCCAAGAAGGACCGCTGGGATGATGCGAACATCACAGAAGTGATGCAGTACCTGACTTTGCGCTGAATGCTGCCCACTTTGTGATGAAGTGATGCATCTGAAGTCCAATTGTGTATATAGTTAAAGGTTCTAAAAAAATCTTCATGCTAAATGAACGAACTTGCGAACAGTATATCTATATGGATTGTTTGTATGTATGTATGTATATATATGTGTGTATGTAATGTATGTATGTATGTATGTATGTATGTATGTATGTATGTATGCATGGATGGATGGATGGATGGATGGATGGATGGATGTATGTGTGTCTGTATGTATGTATGTATGTATGTATGCATGCATGCATGCATGATGGATGGATGGATGGATGTATGTATGTATGTATGTATGGTACTCCTAGTTGTGGAAGTCAAAGCGTTTCAATGAAATGTGCGTCCTAGGTGGGGGAGAAATTTCTGGAAGTCGGTGCGATGTTGCGTCCAGTTGGTGTTTAGCATGTTTGTGTTTTCTCCAATTGATGGTTTATCGTGAGTTTTTCATGGATACCATGCAGATGGTTGTAGCTATTCCCTTGTGTTTTGGGAGTTTTGTACATCACTTGTGGCTCGCTCTGTTGTGCAAGATTCATACAAACACCGACGAATACTGGGTCGATGTTATAACAAGTGCCTATGGGGAAAGGCCCGCATGGGCAGCGCCTATCACCTTAACTTACTGATGTATTTTTTGGCACTTCGCATAGGCACACGACGCTTACCTGTCATATCTTTTTGGGCTTACCCACTATACTCCCAAAGATGAAAGTCGTGGCAATTGTATATACTTGTTTGCCAAGCTTGCGTCCCTTTGTCTCCCCTCTGTCTCCCCATGTCTCCCCTCTGTCTCCCTTACTCGCATGGACCTCGTTTGGACCTCGTTTGCACTTCGTTCGGACCTCGTTAAAATTGCAGCCAGTCAAAGCCCGGCCCGGAGAGGTTTTGGAAAGGCTTTGCAATGGTCTGCTGCTTGGGCTGCTGCTGCTGCTGCTGTTGTTGTTGCTGCTTGTGTTGCTGCTTCTGGGCAAGGTGCGGTTTTTGGGCAGAGAAGCAAGAGATTTTGTCTGGCGTAAGCGGTGTGCCATGCGGCTGGCACAAGTTCTAGTAAAACCAAGAAGCAGAGGATTGATTTCCTGCAGGCCTATGGCAAGATGAGGTCGTTGCAGTTTGTTCCGAAGAGCAAATGAGCGGGAAAAAAATAGCCGTACCACAGGGCAGAGAACGTGGATGAGATTTGCAACTGTACATTCACTTAGCAACATTCGAATCCCGAAGTCTTCCATTCCTTAGCAAATTCCTTCAGGAAAGCCACCAGAAACATTCCTTCAGATTATTATTCAGACATATTTGAGATTCATGTTTGGAGACGCGTCCTGATGGGGATTTGGAAAATTTGGCATATATTTTTAAGATTATGGGACATAACTGTGCACACGCGTCCTGATGGGGATTTGGAAAATTTGGCAATAGAAAAGTGCACTGCCAGGGATCTAAAAATAACACTTCTACATAGTGCGTCCCATGGTGTTTTAGACCTAGTTGCGTTGACTTGTTTGACTTCCTGAATGCCCGGCGTCCCATGCAGTTTTTACCTTGGTTCCACATATGCACTGACTTTCACGTTCCAGTGTATCTATTTCTTGTGCTGGGATGATGCGAAGATCACAGAGTGATGCAGTATTTGCGCTGGATGCTGCCTGAAAAAGGCAACTATTAAATTCGGCTGCTTGGTTACCACAGGTTTCTAGAAGCTTCAACCTGTGGCGTTCTTGGCATCTGAGGTCCAATCAGAAGGCCGTGTAATATATGTATTGGAAAATACATATTATGCTATCTTTCACATGGTTCATTAATATGTGTGAATATGATATCTATATCGTAAGTTTGTGGATCATTCAATCATTCAGATGATGCCAAGATCACAGCAGTGATGCAGGACCTGATGCCTGGAGCAATCAGGCATCAAATTCGAGTATCCAGAATCCTCAACCCCGATCAGAAAATATCCACATGTGATGGGCTGTTTTGTGTTGTATTTATTTGGCACCCCAAATGGGAATGGTTCTCTATCTATCTATCTATCTATCTACCTATCTATCTATATCTATATCTATCTGTATCAATATCTATCTATCTATCTTTCTATCTATTTATCTATCTATCTCTCTCTCTCTCTCTATCTATCTCTATCTATCTCTATTTCTATCTATCTCTATCTATCTATATCTATCTATATCTATCTAAAACCATATTTTCCTGGCTCTAAAAAACAGAGTCAGGAAAAAGGGTTTGGAACCCCCATTAATTTTGAAACCCCCATTCAAGGGAAATATATCTTTCTATATCTATCTATATCTATCTATATCTATCTATCTAATCTAATCTATTGTAATCTAACCCAAAAGCTAAGTTAACCAATTAGTTAGCATTGCCCCTATTAACATCCAATCCTTCAACACCACTACCAAGTTGGGAGCCCATACCACTTGCAATGGAGGCTGCAGCTCCTGGCACATGAAGCGGGTCGCCAGATTGGCAAGTGCTGCCAGCAGTGAAGGCTTGACCGGGTGTGTCCCTGGGGGTAACCAACAAATATAAGGAACATTATAAAAAAAATAAAAAAAGTAAATGATGAGAGGGGAAAAAGAATGGGGGGTGTTGGAATGTGCATGCTTGGATCAAAAACATCCACAAACCATAAAACCGTGAACCCGTGATTACTCCGTGATTTTGCCGTGATAACTCGTGAAATTTCACGTTTCACACTTTTTGTAGTTTTGGAACTTTCATCATGGATTTGCCACAGGTTTTTGGGGTCCAAGCAGCACCAGCTTAGCTTTGGATCCGGGTGTGTGGCCATGGCTGCACATCCAAGTCAGATGCCACAGCCGGGTGAGAGCTTTGTCACTCCACAGGCATGGAGGGTGGCAACCAGGGGAGATATTGAGGCCTTTTTTGACACTGCCACATATCAATCAAAGCCTGTGAATACATCAGTCAAGCCACCCAAACAGGTTCCCATGGAACGACATACCACAAAAGAAAACATTGTGCGCTTTTTTGATCCCACCACATATTCTGCGCAGAAGCGGCCATCGGCATCACCGCCACCGCAACCAGCAGCCAAAGCACGTGTGCACCCATCAGCCGGGGGTCGTATGGATAGAGCAGAGCTTGTGGAGAAGTTTAAGCTGGCAGCAAAATTAAATGGTGTGAGTTGGGACGAGTTGTGTGACCCTTGGATTCAATTTCAAGTTTGGGGTTGAGTGAGGTTTCTCGGGGGGGCATCCAACAAACAAGTGTGTTTTGTTTTGTGTTTGTGTATATAACCATGGTTAGAATCTTAGTTATAGAGATTGTCTTAATGCATCCAAAGAATTATATTCAAACAAATATGGTTGTCACATTCCTTCTGGCCCAGGGTGAGATGTCGACTTCAGCGGCATCGTCAATGCCTGTTGGCACCTCTATCCCTTCCCAAGAGCTACCTGATGCATCCCATGAGCTAGATGGGGAATCTATGGCTGATGATGAGTTGAGGGCTTTGGAGAGGGAAGCTGACGCTGCTGTGCTTGCTCGTGTGGAGAAGGAGAGTTTGGGGGGTGAGGGAGCAACCATGGAGCACCCCAGCAAAGCACCTGCAACCATGGAGCACCCCAGCAAAGCACCTGCAACCATAACCATGGAGCCCACCCCAGCACAGCACCTGCAACCATAACCATGGAGCCCCCAGCACAGCACCTGCAACCATGGAGCACCCCAGCAAAGCACCATCACTCGTTGACTTGGTTCCACCCGTGCCCAAATCCACTGTGCCTCCCAATCCCAACAAACCAACAAACCTGTGCCGGAGCCCACACCACCTGTGACTGGCAACTTGGCCAATGCCTTGGCCGGTGGGGATGACAAGTTGACACCTAGTCAGTTGTGGTCACAAGAGATTGAGGATGATGTAGCAAAGATGCTTGCGAAGGTAGATGGGGAAGACCTCAAAAACATGGTGGAAAGTGCCCGTGAGCACCCTGAGATGAAATCCTATGTTGAAGGGGTTCGCTTGGAGATTGGGAATGATGGGGTGTGGGAGTTTGGGGAGGAGGACGTGTATGAGGATATGCTTGGGTTTGCAGTTTGGGTTAGGGCTCGTGCAAGCATGCGCAAAGCATTGGGGTTGGACTCCCCACCAACACCTGGCAGCAACACTTCTGCAGAGCCCGAAACACCTGCACCACCTGGTCCAGCAGAGCCCACAGCCCCTGTGCATCCTCCAGCTGCAGAGCCCAAAGCAGAGCCCAACACAGCACCAGCTGTGCCCAAAGCAGCGGACCCCAAAGCACCCGATCCTCTTGCACACAAGGCAAAGTACCAGCAGTCTTTGCGCGCCTTGAGGGATCCCGACAATGCCATCCCCCCTGACATCGGCCTTTGTGGGGGGCCACCCGCTCGAGCTGCAGCAAGCACACCTCCACCCACCATGCCTCCCCCTAGCACCATGGCTCCCCCTGCAGCACCACCTGCACCTGCAGCAAGCACACCTCCACCCACCATGCCTCCCCCTAGCACCATGGCTCCCCCTGCAGCACCACCTGCAAAACCAGCAGGACCAGCACCCCACCAGCTGTCTGCAACAGTGGATGCAGCTGCAACAAAAGCGGCACCACCATTGCCCACACCGGTTTCCCACAGATCAGAATACATGCAGTATCTACGTGCTGCAAGGAACCCCAGGAAAATGCCTGCAAGTTTGGTTGCAACCTTTACTGGAAGCAAACTTGACCTCTTCAGGCTGTGGCTTGAACGTGGACAGGACTTCAATGCTTGTGAGGTGGAGATCAGACGTCGCAATACCCAGGCCAACATTGCCAGCGCAAAGGAGAAGTATATGAGCAGGGCAGCTTTGATCAAGGATGGACGGTACAGGGAGAGTGACATTGACCTACTGATCCAGCAGCGCACCAAGACAGGGGAATGGATTCCTGACGCCAACTTTCCTGACAGGGAAGACCTTCGTCAGTACCGGGTTGGGAATGAAGAAGTGACCAGGGAAGTTCAGAACCATCGGGAAGACACTCAGGAGGTGGGGTCCACAACCGAGTTGACTTCAACGGAGGCCTTGCTGCTGACCGAAGATGGGGCTGACTTCTCTGACAAGGCTGTTCCTAGCATCCATGATGTTCTGGGGGAGGGTGTTGCTGAGAGGGCACGGAGAGGGGACACCACAGCACCCGACCCCAAAGCAAAAGCAAAGGCAAAGCCCAAACCAAAGGCAAAGGCAAGTGTTGGGGGGGCTGGTGATGGTACACCTAAGCCTGACAAACCAATCACCCCTCTCGAGAAGGCCGTGCTGCTCAAGAAAAGTGTGTTTCTTGCCTTTGTTTGAGATTTATCAGATCAAAGTGAAATCGGATTCCAGATACAAAGCCAGAAACAAATCCATAAGATGATCCAGTATACCATATATGGTTAAATTATATATATGTTATTGAAACATGTGGGTGCCCGAAAAAAAACCAAACGCTGGAATTACATGCATTTATGCATGCATCCATCCATCCATGCATTTATCCATACATCAATCCATACATCCACGCATCCATGCATCCATAGCATGGTAGCTACATTTAAAACTGTTTTACAAGCGTGAATCCAGGAAACAAATGTTAATGTCTATTTTGGGGATGGAGCCAACTGAGTAAGTACACCCATCGATCCATAGATTCATACATACATGGATACATACATACATACATACATACATACATACATACATACATACATACATACATACATACATACATACATACATACATACATACATACTCATACATACATAATCATACATACATAATCATACATACATAATCATACATACATACATACATACATACATACATACATACATACATACATACATACATACATACATACATACATACATACATACATACATACACACATACGTACATACATACATACATACACCCATGCATACATCCATACATACATACGTACATACATACATACATGCATGCATGCATGCATACATACCCAAGCATGGGGTGTGACCAGCTCTAACCCTGTAACGTTCCCATTGCTCCTTCTGAGGCTCAAGGAGGCTGAGGAAGCACGAACCCTTTGCATTGCCATCGAGGGCCTGGAAATGGCCGGCGAGCTGGTGCAGGCGCTGCAAACCCACAGCACTGCCCTCACCACCCTCTACCGTGAGCTGCATCAGCTGACCACGAATGAGGTGAATGACATCAACCAATATTCGAAATTGTTTGATCAGGCAACCCAGTATCAAACTTGGTTCAAGAGCAGAAAAAGGTTGCCAACACCATGAAATCTGCTGCTTCGAGGTGAAATCATTCCAGTCTAGATGATTTTGTTATCTTGAAGTTTTGCTGTCAAACTATGAAAGCTATATTTCTCTGATTGAAATTTGCAATCATGACGTCGTGGCAGCTGCAATCATGGGCATAGGGATCCGTCGTGGGTTTTGTGACAGCGCGAGTTTTGGACCCACATTTTGTACCCAAATCATTTGGCCTTGCATGGCCTACATACCGATACAACGGTGTTACAGCTCTGCTGCAACGGAAACGGTGTAGATAGATAAATAGATATATAATGATATATATATATATATACATATACATGTTTGATTAGCTATTGTTGATGTTGAAGAGTGGTGGCATGGACCCCTCAAAACTATCAACTTAAAAAATAGATAGTGTATACACCTTTCTCAGGCTGGCAGGGTTGGACTACACCAGAGTGACCAACAGAAACTGAAGCTTGCAATGCAGCCCCTGTGATGAAACAAACATATCTGTAAAATATGTGTGCCTTTGGGGGCTGCAGGCGTTTAGCAGATCTGACCAAGCCGGTTTGTGTGGTTTTCACAATGGTCGAATTTATTCGAACCAACATATATATTCAGCAACAGCCTTAAGATTGTTTCATCTATGTTTTATCTATTTTTGCATATCGTAAAAAAAAACATGCGCGCCATTGTTGAAAGAATCGGCTGCAATCCTCGGGAGCTTTTGCACAATCCCATCATTCATGGGACAATCTGGCAAGTCCCAGATATCTTTGGTGGCTACTATAGGGCTACTCATGTTGGAATGAGTGCCACTCGGCGGCCCATTGTGTGGGATGACAGCAGAGAGAAAAAGGGGTGCCTATGTTGGCAGGTAGAGAAACATCCCAAAAGCTATCCATTGAATACCGTGGGTATGCTCTGGACGGAAGAAATCCTGTGGATATGCCACCTTAAAAATAATGTTATGGGATAAACCCTTTATCAACTGGTGCAGGATTTCTTCCATCCACATTATAACAAGAGTATTGCACAGTTAGAAAATTGTTAAGAAATGTGCATCCCTACATTTGGGGTTAAGCCTTCAAGCCTTCCCATGCACCACTTGCTGTTGGCCAGGCGCACCTCAAAAGCGTCAACGACGCGATGTTCCTGGCTCGGCGCTGGCAACCGAACTTCTGTGGGATGTGTCCCGTGGTGATCCCTGGCTTCAATTAAAGTTCAAAGTCGTTCAAACAACTAACCCGTCAGGAATAAGCTCCATCTATACCTTTTGAACTGATGATCATATTATATGGTTCCATCCCATCACAAGCGTCATAGGATTCTACAAACCTCTTTTTGTCCCCTCAAAAAATGAATGATGATTTTGGACAAGCACATTCAATTGTTTATGGTTATTTGGTCCAACATCCATCCATCAGGAGCTTCATGCGAATGCCCTTCAGAGATACTCACATGCTGCGCTTCGAGATGGTTTGGATAACCCAACTATCCGGGATTTGGCATCTTTGGCTTCTTGGGGTAAGCACATGTCCAATGCTGAGCGTGATCTACACACGATGATACCTTCTCTTTTTGGATCGGAGTTCCCAACATACCCTATTGAAATTGAGGTGTATGACCCTGACAAAGCCATGGTAAAGCCAATGGTAATACCAATTCTTTTGGCAAGTGATGCATGAGCTATTGAAAAAGCAGTCCCCAAAGCTGTGGGAAGTTGTGATCGGGTGCAATGCCACAACAGCCCATGCATTCTGGTCGGAATACCGCTCCAACGGGGCCTTTGCCCAGCATCATCCAGTCATCCAGCACACCAGCAGCATTAGGTGATTTGATTTTTTTTGGTGTTCCAGCCCAGTTAAATATCAATATCACCAGAATGTTGCTTAAAGAAAGGCTAGGGGGTAGATTCCCAAATCAAATCACCCAATGCCAGTGGTCACCAAGGTCAAACCTCGAAAGCGAAACTTTTCCAGCTTCTTTGGCAGGATGGGGTAGGAAAGTATTTGGTAGCTTCCCAACCATTGCATTTTTTTGAGTTAGAAATAAACGTATGCCTATGTTTTTTACATGGCACCAGCCGCCATGTGAGGTTAAGTGGTTCACAGATGGGGCAGAATACAACACAAACCAAGAGCTCCTGATTTGGTTGTGGAGTTCAACTATGGCTTCCACTACTTGGTGTACCAGGTACCCATTTGCAATCATTCCCATGAGACTGTTGCCAAGCAAAGAGCTCCGGGCAAAGGCAAACAAGGTGATCGTTCAAGCTATTGCTTGGGACAGTCCCTTCACAAAAGTTTGGTGTTATTCCTTGATACCCAAACAGCCTATAATATAGAAAAGGCATACGTACAGATATACATATAATCATACGTTTATATGTATATATGTGTGTGTGCTTCTCTATCAGGCACCACCCTTTTAAACTGCGCCACCTGTCTGACCTTAGGTAAGACTCTACTGAATGGAGTCTTCCCTGCGTTGAATCAGCATGGGGTGGCACTGGGTGCCGCACGGGCTGCCAAAGCAGGGCGGCCTATAGCAGGAGGGTGGAGAGGAGGATTCGAAAGCTGGTGTGGTGATTGGAAGGAAAGAAGCCTTTCCCACTCATTTGTTCGTCGCAACTACCAGTCCACAATGATGTGTGATCAGTGTGGGGCAGTGAATCCACATGCCCGTACGAGGCAAGATCTGCTACAATATGTCTACTCAAATTTTTTGGGACCATGGAGAGAAACACAAAGAGATCACGAAGCCTATTTGCGGGAAACCCCAGTGGTCTATCAGACTCCATGGCTGTCAGTTCCAGGGTTCAATATATCCCGAGTAAGGTGGGATACAGCGCATACAGTTTTATTGGGATGTGGCAAAGATTTGGCTGCAAGTTTCCTTTTGGATTTGGCACCTCGGAATCTTTACATGATGATCAGTTTGAAATTTACCACATAGTTTCTTTTCCCCAATAACTTCATGGATCCATCACTTTTATCTCCCCAACAAATCCAACGAAGAATGGAACCAGATTTATTAATCAGCCTATCAAGCGGGTAAAAGAACCGATTCACAAAAAATCTGAATCGGTATATCCCAGGTAGAACTGCCAATTCTCAACCGGCTACATCAACTTGGTGTGACTGAACTGAAATCCCTACACGGTGTGGATCTTTTTCGTCTACATCAGCTGGGTGGCACCAAACATGAACGGGGTGACAGGTTCATGAACCATGTGGGGCTAGCATTCAGGACTTTTTGCAAGTCTCGGAAGATCGAAAAACCACCGTGTGTGTGGAATTTACATCTGATCGGTAGAGGTGCAAACGATGAGGCGGATCAATACCCGGTTTTAGACTCCAACGTCAAAGCTGCACATTGCAAGCCCATTATCTTTTTCCTTGCCGAAGTAGCTAGGGAGATTGGTTCTTATTGCAAATGCCACTTGGATGGGTTTTGACACATTCTGAACATTTTAGTATGTGCCTTGTTTGATTGGTGAACCAACCTCTTTATTATACAAACCTGGCAAATTCAAGCTGCAACTCCTCCAGCTGGGTATCCAAACCGTCATGAGGCACTGGCTGCTCGAACAGGGCCTTGATGCTGTGGGCGGCAGGCTTTTTGTGGGTGACAGACCGCCCAGCATTGCGGCTTGGGAATGTGTTGGCCAACCGTGGTTATCACTCAGGGCTTTCATGCCTCATTGCATATGCTGAGATGTCATCTGCCAATCTGAACAGAAATCGGATCAACTACAAGATCCGTCCCAAATGGTGTCTTCATACAATTGAGTATTCATTTTCTGCTGATGTTGACACTTCCCATGGGTTGTATTTTCTATTTTTTAAGTTGGTGGAACCATAAAATTTCTGAACCTACTTGGAATTCTATTTAAATAGATGTTAAATAACCACCACAAAGATGGAACCATATTTTACCACTAGTTCATTATAGGAAATTATTGGTTGGCAAGGGGATATATATATATGGGTATGAATGTACATGTATATAAATATACATATGTTTTTTCAATGGTGGATCCCCAGAACCGTATCTTTCAATAGTGAAACAGCCCACTTTTGTATGATTTGGGGTGCTTCCATGGTTCAACAGGGAACCTCCATATTTGCGACTTTGATCCCCGCCCATATCTCAAACCTTGAGGCACAGTTGGTGCCACATTATCTTCGGTCTCAAGGACAACGATGAGAACCCGAGGAATCACAAGACTTTAGCCGAAGAGTCAATGCTGGGAAAATTGACCAAATTGGCAAGTGCCGTTCACGGCGCTACAGTGTGCAAACGTTTTTTTGATCGCTTTAGTCTTTTCCTTGCAATGCATTGGCAGAACATTGCCAATCTTCCTCAGGAAGCGATCGATGAAATTTCGGGATAGCAAAGCTGTAAATGAAAACCAAACCAGTAAGTAACCCAGGGCAATTTCATTGTTGGTTCACCAGGTTATCCCAAACCCATGTTTGCCATTTTGCCGGGATTCCGGACACTGGCATGCGCAGAGAGGCAGGCCCCCCGGTGAAATGTGCAGCGGAGATCGGGAGGTATAGGCTCCACCAAAAACCTTTCAAACTAAGGAATCGCCAAAAACGTGTCAGTTGATTCCTAAAATGGAGGGCAACCCCAAATCATGTTCGAATAATAGAATGGTACAATTTCAGATGATTTGGGGTTACCTCTATTTTAGGAAGCAATTATGTGGGACATCGGCTTCACTGTGGACCACTCAGGGCCATGGGTTTCAATGCTAATCTGGTTGATTTCACAGGATTTGGGGTACCTCTAACCGGTTTCATAGTTTACCACCCGGGGTCAATGGATTCCTTACAATCATGGGGTTCAATATTAAAATGGTCTAATGATCTAATGTAGATGATGTGGGGTACCTCTATTTCAGGAAACCACCATGTTGGGAAATCGGTTTCACAGTGGACTAACCATGGGTCATATTAGATGTTTCCTAAAACATGGGATTGAAAACTAACATGGGTCCAATTTAGATGATTTGGGTACCTTTACATTAGGACACAACAATTTTCACAGCGACCGCCCACCTTCATATGGGTCTTCCTTAAAACCATGGGTTTCAATACTAAAATGGGCACCATTCAGATAGTTTGGGGTACCTCTATATTTTAGGAAACATCGGTTTCGCAGTGGACCTCCCAGAGGGTCATTTGAACCTTCCCTAAAATCATTGGTTTCACTATCAAAATGATCTATATTAGATGATTTGTGGGTATGGTTTCTATCTCTTGAAGTGGTGAAATGTGAGCATGCTGAAGCTTTTGTGGGTTCATGAGCCTAGGGTTTTGGGTGTCTGAACTCCTTAGAGAGGGCAGATACCTGTGGAGCCCCTCGACCTGTCCCAGCATTCCCTGGGGAGCCATTGGCCTTGGCTTGGTGCTGGCATTTGCTTTGGGCCTGTGCTGCGGCGCTGGCATAGCACTTCTGGCTCTCTCCAGCGGCTGCCGAGCTGCTGTGCTGGTGGTCTTGCGATTGGTAGCTGGTGCTTTGCAAGGACCAGCAGCTGCGGGTGGGGGGGCCAGGCTTCAGCAACGGTTGGCTGAATACAGGGCTCATTGATGCATAGTGGTTTTACTGGTGAGGTTGAGGAAATCACTGTGTTGTTAGCTGGATTGGAGATCACCATCTCAGCTAGACCTGCAAGAGGCCCTTCCCAACCTGTTTCCAGCACTCCCGTTGTGAGCACCACCACTGGCACCAACGGCACTGCTGACGATCAGTTCGTCCTGGGGTACGATCCTGTGAGCCAAGCACTTTTGAATCAAGCCTTGGACACCACTGGGGCAAATCATCTTGCTCGCCTGCCGCTCAGGTTTTTGGATTACTTGGTGCCTCGCTTGCGGAGCGCCAATCTGGAGTGGACTGGGGCGGCCCGTGTGGGTCGAGCATTTCGGGCTGGCATTCTTGCCCGTCTTCGCCTTCAAGGCGAGATCAGTGAGCTTGGATCTGAGGGCATCCCCTTCAGGAACACCTTGTACGTGGTCTTGAGGGCTCCCGGGCACTACGGGGGTTTTTGGACTCCTGACTATCTTGCCTACACCCAGGCTGTGCTCAACGGTGACAACGAGTTCCATCGTGACAGTGTCAGTCACGGCTTCCCGACTCGATCGGAAGCTGAGGCCTACTTGGTCGGCGCAGGCCGCCCATGGCCTCGGCGCTTGTGAAGCGGGCTGGACTGACTCCAGAAGTCTTGGGAGAGCTGGCTTCTGGGGTAGATGTGCATCACGCTCTCCCCACAGTTTTGTTCCTTGTGGATGGCATCGACGACGCAGCTCCACGGTGGGGTGTGGCCTACGTGGTGCGCTCTCGCGCGAATGGCTTTATGCTGGCAGTGGCAGCAGACCCAGATCTTGGCGCCGTCTTAGAGCTCATGGTGCCGGATGGACAAGAAATCATGTCCCACACAGGGGCAGTCACTATGGTTTCAATGCGTGGGCGACAACTGGGCCCAGGCGAGCTTCAGCTGGTGGATTTGGTGTGGGATTGCTCTCATCACTTCATCAAGCAGGCTTCCCTCAAAGGGGCATTGCTGCGAAGCTCTGTGCTGGTGGGGCCAACAATCGATGGCGAGCGATGCCGCCCTGCGGCTTCTTCAGCCCTGCAGCTGTCAGAAGAATGGATCGGACAAGTGATGGAAGGCGAACCCGCTCAGGAGTACCTGACCGCAGTCGAAGAGGAGCTGGTGCCCGAAGACGAGGAGGAGGAGCCTACTCCTTCTCTGCTTCCCGACGCAGCAGCAGCTTCGGAGGTGGAAGAATTGAAGAGGAAGGTGAAGCTTCTCGAGTCTCAGCTGCTTCAGAAGACGCAGCCTGGCAAGCCTCCCCCTCCTCCGCCTGGCAAACCCGAGCTCTTTGGCAAGACTCCTGGCCTGTTTCAGCCGGGTCGGACTGGCGGTGTCCCGCCTCAAGACTTGCAGCGGTTAGCTGCTCTGGCCGGGTCTCCTCCACCACGAACAGGTCAGCACGAGCAGCGGCGGCAGCTGGATCCTCTTGGAGATGTTCCCCACCAAGATGCGTTGCTGGCAGAAGTGGAGAAGGAGGTGATGGAGCCTGCACTGGGGGACCTTCATTTGGGTCAGCCTCAAACCGAATCTGGGGTTCTTTCTCAGATCCTGGTGGCTCAGTTGCAGCAGAACGCCTTGCTTCTTCAGAAAGTCTTGGGCAAGCAGCCTGCAGATCCAATCATGGGAGCTCTGTCCGGATCGGACAGCGGAAGCGCCGGCAGCTCGCAGGGCGTGAAAGGCTGCGTGGCAAGAGAGGCCTTTTGCAAGACCGCTCAAGACTTGGATGTGATAGCAACTTCTGTGCGTCGCAACGCACTTGCCGAGCTGGGGATGGACATCAGCAGGGAGGACGAGAGTGTCATGCGACGCTACATCGAGCGGCGGATTCCTCTGGCCGATCATCGTCTTCTATGTCATGTTGCAACCTTGGCTGCGGAAGGGTGGGCTGTTGCATTCAAAAGTCAGAACCAACAGATGCTAGGGTTCCTGGGGCTGTTGCTCATGTTTGTGGAACAGGTGGCCTTGGACCATGGCAAGGTCCAGTTAGGATGGCTTTTGACTGTATTAGCAGAACCGAATCACCAAATCCATTTCAGCCACTCCAAGACACCTGGACTGAAACCGTTCTCCAGACTAGCCAACCCGGTCTGGGTCAGCGCGAACCTTGCTTATCTTCGAGATCTGGACTGTCTCGAAAGTCGCATGGACCAGATAGGCAGGAAGAAGAGTTCGGGCAGCCCGCCATCGCCAGAGGAGGGATCAGATCGACCAAAGCCAAAACCCAAGATAAAACCCCGCAAAGGCAAAGGCAAGGGGTCAGAGCAAGCAGAAAGCACTGGAGACGCAAGCAAGTAGCGGCAGATCAGTTTGCTGCAACTGAAGACTCCTTGTCTGGAGTTTCCGATCAGCCTTGTGCCTCTGCAGACTCATGTGATTGGGGTTTAGGGAGTAGTCCATCTAAGTTGTATGATTTTAAGATTCATTCTGGGTATAGCTTGGGTAAGGATGAAGTCCTAGATATCCCTGATCTCCACGATAGCTCTGCCCATCTTAGCCCACATAAATTCATGCAAGCAGTTTGCCACAGTTTTTTAAATAGTCGAACAGCATTAGGCCACTTCGCAAGATCCAGCCTACAGCCTGTTTCAGCCTGCAACGTGCAGAGTGAATCTACCCGATCCACTCTTTGGCCTGTGCCCCCACCAAGGTGGAGTTGGTCGGCTTGCAAGCGCCCTGGTGTGCGGCGACGACGCCGTAAGCGGTTTTATGAAGTCCGTGCTCAGTTGCTGCAGCTGCTAGTGATCAGCCTGAACTGGGAGTGCCTTGGGCACCCTCTGAATGCACCTGAGAAGGCTCGCATTGGTAGTTGCATCAATAAGCATCAATCTGACATTTTGGAACGACTCGAAAGTAAGTTGTCCCATTTGCTGTGCATAGGCAGCTTTGTTCCTGATGACTTAGGCCGGGCTAATGATAAATTCCAGGGTATAATTAATAAGCTTAAGGAACTCCCTCACCACGATATGGGGTTGCAGGACCTTGCATGCATGTTCGAGCTGTTGCATCATGACATGACCAAAAACAGTGAAGGGCCGAGTGGGGGAATAGCGGTTTCTGATCTTGGAGGCTCGTCGGCCGACCGGCTGAAACCGAGCCGAGACGGACACACCATCGACCCCACTGGAGCCTGCCCGAGTCATAGCAGTTCTTCTCTTCCCTGCGCAGTTGGTGCAGGTGACAATCTTGGATCACGACCCGTCATCGCCGACAGGATAAAATGGCAGAATCCGCCATCATTTGACCCGGTTCCTTTTCTAGAAAACCCCCTCCTAAAAGCTGCGTACATTGATCCTGAAACACTTAGGAAGCCTGAATCTAGCTGGCCTAGTAGTATCCCAGGAAAAGTGTTTTGTAGCCGTGGTGAATTGCTAAAGCTTGCGGAGAAGTGGGATTCTTTAGGCGCCTGTCAGATTTTTCCTGCATCATCCAAAGACTGGCATGAGGCGGTCGGGTTATTTAGTGTTGCCAAAGACTCGCAATTTGATAGGATGATTATCAATCCCAAAGCCATCAACAGTAGGATGCACACCATCAGTGAAGCCACTAAAACTCTTGCCCCTGGTTCCATGTTAGGGTTACTCCACCTTGAACCATCCGAAGTTTTTCGCATTTGTGCAGACGATCTGACTGACTTTTATTATACGTTTGTTGTTTCCCAAAAACGAGCTTTTAGAAACTGCATTCGGATGAAGTTTGACCCAAAAGAGCTTTCACATTTGCGTGCGTTTCAGGATGAATTTTGGGATCAGGGGCCCCTATTAATTGCCCTAAGTACTTTAGCTATGGGTGACTCTTTAGCCGTAGAAGTCGCTCAAGCGGCGCATGCAGAGATCCTCAAGCAATTGTGCGGGGCAATGATCCCAAGTGAAGTTTTGCGATACCGGTTTCCTGTTCCAAGGGGTGACTTTGTGGAACTGTTAGCCATAGACGATCATGTCACCCTTCAGAAATTGCCCCGTCAGCAGTTCAATCAGCATCCTGAGCTCCGAGACACCCAGGTTTTTAACGCTTCGGAAAAAGCTTATAAACATGTTGATTCAACAAGAAAAGAAACGTAAGCGTAATCTTCTTCAGGCCACGGTCCTCGGGTGTGATTTTGATGGTTCTGTTGGCATTGCCAGTGCTCCCCGGGGTCGGTTGATCATGCTTTCCGTTCTCACTATGCGGGTTGTTCAGATTGGGTTTTGTACCCCCAATCTACTTGCCACAATTTTGGGGTGTTGGATCCATGCCTTGTTGTTTCGCAGAGCATTGTTTTCGGTGCTGGACGCAGTGTTCAAAGAGGGCCAAGGCATTCCAAAGCATCAGGTGTTTCAGATTTCTAGGCAAGCACTAAATGAATTGCAGATTCTCACCGTGCTCGCGCCTATGGCGCATAGTGATCTTAGGACCAAGTACTCTGAATATCTGTTTGCTACTGATGCTTCCCCCTGGGGTGGTGCAGTTTGCAAAGCACGTGTAGGTAAGGATGTCAGCCAAGAGCTCTGGAGGCACTCCGAGCAAAAGGGGTTTTTACACGCGTCTTGAAAGCCCTGCTTCGTGCATTCTCAGCGAAAAAGGGATTGAGCATGAAAGTAATCTTTTTGGGGATGAAACTTCCACCCTGGATAGGCCATCTGCAATTTTGCATATTCCCAAACCTCTTTCTGAAGGTTTTCTCTTTGATGGAATTGAACTCTTTAGAGGCACTGGAAATTGGAGTGAAGCACATGTCGCAATGGGCCTCGATGTGCATGCTGGCGTTGACACTGATCAGCGTCAGTGGCGAGTCATGGACCTCTCTGACATGTCCGTGTTTAGAGAGCTCACTGCATTGGCCCTGCGCAGAGTGGTGCGGGAATGGCATGCAGGCCTTCCGTGTGTCAGTTTTGGCACGCTGCGCCGTCCCAGGGTGCGGAGTAAGTCGATACCTTTTGGATTTGATCCACAAGACTCATACACACGTTTCCATAACATGCTTGCCATCAGAACAGCCATGATTCTTATTTTAGCAGTGCAAGGCGGGGCGTATATCAGTGTTGAACAGCCTGGTGGCTCGTGCCTTTTTCATATGCATTTGTATAAGGTCTTGGTCCAGTTGGGATGCATCATCACTCACTTTTGTTTTTGTCACTTCGGATCAGCTTTCATGAAGGCTTCAAAATGGCTACACAACAAGCCTTCGCTTGAACCTTTAGCATGTCGCTGTACTTGCGAAAATAAAGGAAAACACTTTGTAGTCCAGGGAAATTTCACCAGAGATAACATTCAACAATTTGACCGCATGTGCCGGCCTTCTTGCCAGGATGTGTATGGGATGATGCCTGAGCCTGGGCAGCGCGTGTCCACTTTTTCGGGTGCATACCCAGTGGGTTTGGTGACTCGGATGGCTAGTGGCAGTGTTGCTGCTAAGCGCGGCAATCCTGGTTTTATCTCTGATGCGGCCAGACGTGATACTTGCCGCGAGTTGGACGTTTCTATGCCGGTTTTTCCTGGCTCAATTTTCCAAGAGCAACCATATCCTCCCAGAAAATGGCATGAAGATCCAGACTGGATCTCTGAACTATGTGACTCTTTGCAGTTTCGCGAATGTTTCCGATATAAGTTTAAGCGGTCAGGTCACATCAATGTCAACGAAAGTAGAATCTTTAAAACCTGGGTTAAGAGCATGGCTAAGGCTGAGCCGGATAGCCGGTTCCTAGGATTGCTGGACAGTAGGGTCACGATTGGCGCCACTGCCAAAGGCAGATCGTCTTCTTTTGCTATCTCAAGAGTTTTGCAAGGTACTTTAGCTTACGTTTTGGGGGCTAACCTTTATCCAGGGTGTCTTCATTGTGGGTCCAAGGACAACCGAGCTGATGAGCCTTCGCGTGACAAGCCAGTGAGAGCACCCGTTAAGGAACTGCCCATCTGGTTTACAGATATGCAACATGGTGACATGCGTCGTTTTGACTTAGTGGTACAGGCAAACAGTGTACCCAAGCTGGCCAGTCGATGGTTGCGTTTTCTCCTTTTGCTAGGGGGTGACATTGAACCCCACCCTGGACCCAGAGGTGTAGATCGGAAAGCACGAGGTCCTATGGATCTTGGTGTAGGATTTGCAGCAGTGACCTCTGAACGAATGCGGAAATGTTATGATGCTTTTCAGGCCAGGTTGCAAAAGGAATTTCCCAGATCCTGCATCCAGGTCATGAGTGCACCTGAAACTGCAGCTTTTGCATTGCGTGCTTATGGACTTCATTGCTTTGAAAGCGGATTGCCAAGATACCTATTCGTTTATGCTATCACAGCTGTGCAGGATCGGTTCCCTCAGTATCGACCGTATATGACCCCTGCCTGGCAGATCGATAAGAAATGGCAGTTGCATGAGCCTGGTGAGTGCCGGGCCGTTCTCCCTGCACCTGCAGTGAGAGCGGCAGTCTGTGTTGCCGCATTGTGGCATTGGTTTCAATGGCTGGGCGTGGTTTTAATTGGATTTGGAGCGATGCTCCACCCTTCAGAGATGCTCGCCTTGACCCGGCGAGACCTGGTCCTGCCGCGTGACACAGCCTTTGACTCTCAATCCATGTTTGTGCATGTTAGGGATCCGAAGACTGCCAGATTTGCTCGAAGACAGCATGGTCGGATCGATGACGCAAAGATCATCGCAGTGGTCGATCGTTTGTTTGGAAAGCTGCCTCTGTCCGCTCGTCTTTTCACTGCATCCATGGCTGTGTTTCGAAGGCAGTGGAATGCCGTTATGACTAAGTTGCATATCCCCTGTAAGCAGGTCGTTCGAGGAGCCACCCCAGCAGTGCTCAGGGGTTCAGGGGCCACATTCCTGTACCATTCCACTGAGGATGTTCAGTGGATTGCATGGCGGGGCCGCTGGAGCAAGCAGCGGACCCTCGAGTTCTACCTCCAGGAAGTGTCAGCGCAGCTTCTGGTGCATGAGCTTTCTGCAGCTGCGCGAGAAGCATTGTTCCTCTTTGACAAGTCTTGCTGGGCGGTTCTTTGCAGCGCTTTGGCCTTGCGGCGCAGCACTGGAGATGTGGAGTGAGATGCTTCTGAGGGGGAACCATGTTTAGATGCGCTGTTTAGCTGAATTGAGCTTTTTGCAGTGGCCACTGATGTAGACATTTTGTTTCAGTGCCGGTGAGAATCACCGATCACTGTGGCGCTGCTACGAACCGAGAAACCTTGGCGAAACGCAGGCACAAAAGAGATGGTTTCTATCTCTTGAAGTGGTGAAATGTGAGCATGCTGAAGCTTTTGTGGGCCCGTCCCACCCCCCCAGGAGTGAGATGCTTCTGAGGGGGAACCATGTTTAGATGCGCTGTTTAGCTGAATTGAGCTTTTTGCAGTGGCCACTGATGTAGACATTTTGTTTCAGTGCCGGTGAGAATCACCGATCACTGTGGCGCTGCTACGAACCGAGAAACCTTGGCGAAACGCAGGCACAAAAGAGATTAACTATTCTTGTTCAGTACTTGGGTTTGATCAATAGACATTGAAGAACC